CTGACTGACTCACCAACTGGCTGACTGACTGACTCACCAACTGGCTGGCTGACTGACTCGCCAACTGGCTGGCTGACTGACTCACCCACTGGCTGACTGACTGACTCACCCACTGGCTGGCTGACTGACTCACCCACTGGCTGGCTGACTGACTCACCCACTGGCTGGCTGACTGACTCACCCACTGGCTGGCTGACTGACTCACCCACTGGCTGGCTGACTGACTCACCCACTGGCTGGCTGACTGACTCACCCACTGGCTGGCTGACTGACTCACCCACTGGCTGGCTGACTGACTCACCCACTGGCTGGCTGACTGACTCACCCACTGGCTGGCTGACTGACTCACCCACTGGCTGGCTGACTGACTCACCCACTGGCTGGCTGACTGACTCACCCACTGGCTGGCTGACTGACCTACCAACTGGCTGACTGACTGACTCACCAACTGGCTGGCTGGTTGCAGGGGTTTCAAAATGTTTTGAAGTGGCATCAGACTATGCAATAGTAGGCAATTGTAAAAAGTTTGTCGAGAGCCAAAAGGAAAAAGAGTAACTAGCAATATGTTATCATGTAGCTGGTGTAACTCCGTTGGTTGCCGACTTGTTTTGAAACCCCTCTTGGTTGACCCTTGATGACTAACTGTCTGATATTTGCACTGACTAAAAGTCTGACTAACTGATAAACTGAATGAACAACTGTGAAACATACTATCTTACCAAATAATTTGGATATATCAACAAAGTTGAAATAGTAAATTGGCCACCGTAACGATTACAAAAGCTGACGTTTCGAGCGTTAGCCCCTCGTCGGAGCTAACGAAGGGCTAACGAAGGCCGACGAAGGGCTAATGCTCGAAATGTCAGCTTTTGTAATCGTTACGATGGCCAATTTACTATTTCAACTTTGTTAATATATCCAAATTATTTCGTTACCCCCACCAACGAAGCCCCAAACAGTTTCTTTAGAAACTATCAGCCTTTATCTTACCAAATGGCTGACTGATTGACAACTGACCAAAGGACTGCCTCCCTCTCCTACTTTTCGGCTGACTGACAGACTGGTAGGCTGACTTAGTAACTGGCTCGCTGGCATCTGACTGACTCACAAACCAACAGACTGACTGAGTAACTGACCAATTGTGTTATTTAGGCTGGCAGTGTGGTGTTTGGTTTTATTTTATAGACACCAATGAAATACCAAGTGAGCTCATACAGAAAAATGGGGTATCTTCAGACAAATGCAAATAACACCATTACTATGGTTACATGGTAAATCGCACCTTTTGCAACAAAAGTGAAATGGTATTTTTTTTTCATTGATGTTTATATAATAAATGGTCCTGTCACTTGCTCATGAAATATTTTTGGACACACAAAGAGAAATTTTATATTGCTGCGTGGCCTTGTAATATTCATAAAATCACCCTACCAAATAGTCAGTGGCTTCCCTGATTGTGAAAGTGTGAACTGAGAAAAGGGGATTGAAATTATTGTAATGGTTATTGTTGCTAAGCCTGTGAAGCCAGACAAAATAGGGTATAGATGGTACAACATCTGACTGAAGCTTCGTTCACACATTCTTCAAACAGGCAACAATCACAAAATATGTGAAAATTGTCAACGTTTAGTTGCCAGTTGAAGAATTGCTACCATTGAAATACATAAGAAGTAGGCAAGTGGACAACTGCTTTCTATGCTTTTCTCTTGTGCACCTTCCAAAAACTTTTTTTTAAGAGTAGAGGTTGTGGTACACTGCATGTATTTTTTTTTTTTTTTTTTTACAGTCAAACCTCCCTGTCAAGATATGGCAAAACAAACACCCATTTGATGTTGGTCAATAGCATGTGATACATAATAAGGTGCATGTAACTTCTTTTAACAACTCACCTAATTAGGTTGTCTTGTGTGGTCAATTCAACCTGTGAAGAAAATTGTTATCCACATTTTGGTGGAATGGGGAGGTGATTTCACTACTGTTGAGTGATTACTGAAAATATCATGAGTACGTTCTCTAAAACCTTTTCTGGTTATCCTTTTCAAAATTTGTACAATTTTTGTTTTTAAATGTTTATAATAAGGTCTCCAAATAGTCTCTGAAACATGTATTCAATACTGCAGCAGGAAGTTTCCATTTTATTTCCAGGTTTTCATTTAGGATCTGCAAAACAAACAATATTCTAGTTGGAAGGGTTCCCATACCTCCCTGGTGTTTTCCCTAATTTGTCACACTACTACAGCTGTTCAATTCGGTAGAAATGAGAAAAAAATAGGTGAAATGCCAAGGTGTTAATGTGGAAGTCCATTAATCAGAAGTTAAAGTAGAGTAAGAAAGTTGAAGTATTCCTTTTGATAATAGTGTGGAAAACCTATTTGAAGTTTGAAATGTCCTTTATTTATGCAAGTATCATATTTGAATTTGTCATGCTCTCAAAGGAATTTTTGGGAATTGGTTATCGTGTCTCTCTTACAATCCGTCAACTTCAGATCGAATAGTTCAGTTCTCGAACACTAAAACCTGAAAAATTATACTTTACTTAAGTTTATTTCGACAACAGTTTATTAGAATATTGAAAACTGGGTTGCTTTTTCGTTCTTGTGTAGTCGCTGGACGCTTTAATATTAAAAGACCACAATTTTTATTCGTTTACCATAGTAAGATAAATTTGATGTTGCTTAAGATCTATTTCATTTGTTGATTTACCTTTTCTTCTCGTTTTTTTGCAGACTGACTTGTTTATATCTCTGATGCTTCAAGCGCGAATCACACAAGAAAGTCTATGATCGCAGAAGACAGAGGATTTCTTCAGTGGCACCAAACAAATTAAGCACAGGTCAAGAAGAATTAGCCAAACGTAAGCAAAAGCAAACGCAAGTGTTGTATTGCGATTTGGCTGAGGTCTGAAAAGTTTACGCTTTTAAAATTCTCCCGCCGAAAAACTTGGAAAAAATACGGGCGCCTTGAACACGCATGCGCTTGTTACTTTGATGATTGCTTCTCTATAACATCTATTTGAAAGTGGTTAAATTTTCCCGCCAAAAAACTTTGAAAAACTACAGGCGCCCAAAATACGCATGCACCGGATCTTTTTCAAGAGTAATATTATTTTATCAACAAAAGTTGCTTGTGAAGTGTCTCGAGTATTTGTTTTTGATAGAGACTTGTTTAAATGAATGTTTTCAGTGTGATTTTTATTACCTTATAAAGTTTCCACTAAAGTTAGTAAAATAAACAGCAATTGTGTTGTGAAAAATAAGTTTTATTCAGCTCAAAATATCTTAATTAGTTAATTGAATTTCCGTTCAATTGATTTAAAACATGTCAAGAAATTTTCGTTTATATACTACTTTTGGCGAGAAAATTTGGACCAATTTGCACAAAGTTTCCCCTGACAACGTTTTTGGAAAAAAAAATATTGGAACATTACCTCGTGCAAAAAACTCAAGACGAAAAGTGCCAATTTTCCTTCATATTTTAAAAATTTTCGAAATGGAATTAAATCGAGCATAACTCTTAGCAACGTTTAGTTTCCAGACTCGTTTTTTTTTTATTTGCACGAGATAATGTTTCCGATGTAAAAAATACATGAAAGCAACAGGATAGACTAAGCGTTTCCGATGTCAGGCTAAAAATTCAACCTTTCATTTTGCTTCTGACAAAAAATAACACTTCGCTGCCAGCTTTCGTTCGTAACACAGGACAAATGAAACTTGAGCGCGCAATAAAGCTATTGTTGTACTTAAATTTATCTTTGCTGAAAATTATTTAATAAAAGTGTTCACCTAACATGAATTCAGTGAAACGTAGAAAATCCTCGTCAGTTTAAAATAGATTTTTTATTTGCAATTTCCCAAGCAATTTGTCATTGTGAATTGACTATCAAATTGTATACACGAGAGAACGTTCTTGTTATTTATATAGAAAAACTGTTATAATTCCGCCGTCTAGGTAGGAGCAAATTTTGCTTTTTCTTCTGATGCGTCTTTAATCCGTTTCTCTCATTCTGTTCAGTTTTAAGTGGGGGCAATCAAAAAGCTTCGTTTGCATTCACAGGGCCATAGCTAGCATAAGGCAAGACGAGGCAATTGCCTCGTCTTGATTTTGGCCTTTTTTAAAATTTTTTTCTTGAAGATTGACTTTTCTGAAGAAAAATGCCCCGAAAATTCCTTAAAAGGGCATTTCTGAACCTCTAGATTCCAAAATTTTCTGGGGGGCATGCCCCCAGACCCCCCTAGCGGCTCGCGCCTTCGGCGCTCGAAAATTGCCTCGTCTTGTCCTGAAGTCTGGCTACAGCCTTGATTCAACTATCTTGCATGCGTCATTTTGTCCTGTGTTACAAGAAATACTGGCGCAAAATATTTTTCTTCCATTAGTTCATTGCATATTATAATAAAACACTGTGTCTGGTTCCAAAAAAATGGGTTAATTCTCTTCTCGAAAAACGAAACTTCAGCAGTTGGACTAGTTGGCTTTTAGGACAGACTCTAGAAAACGAAACAATGACATCGGTATTTTTGTTTGTTCACACTCCGATTAGTCATGAACTTGAATGTTAAAATGGTGATTAATGGCAATACTCGGGAAATTAAGGCAAAATCAAGTTTCCTCTCTTTCCAATTGTTGAACTTGAAGATTTTCTCGCATGTTCCTATTATCCAGACTTTTGATTCGTTGTCCTTTTGTTAATCACAACTAACATGCATAATCCGCCGCAGTTTACGAAGATCGTTCCATTTCAATTTTTGTTAAACCAGACACTGTGGTGTATAATTAACTATAACCGACAAGGGAACATTGACAGAAAGTGGATATTGCTCTTTGCTTGTGATTCACGTTTCGGAAACTTAAGGAAATTCCAACTAAGATTTTATTGAAAGGTTGTTAATCATATAAACGAGCCTTTGTACATTTTGTTAATTAAGTCTGATTGCTCAGTGAGATCCATGGCTCGATTTTGACTCGTCAGTCACGGTGGAACGTACCGTCTTTGGGTTTTCGATGTTGTGTCGTGAACAGGTCGTTTGTACGGCACAAGTGTAGATATCAGTGTCCTACAATGAAATATATCTACAGCTGTTTCGAGAAAGGTTGTCGGGAAAAAGCGTAAAAGTGCACGCGATAGCCCCGAAAGGTGCATAAACTGTAAATAGTTTTTCGGTCAGGGAAATCTGAAAATACGTCATAACGTAAGGCCAAGGCATTACGGTTTGATCAATTTATTTTTTTCATAAGACTGACGTGATAAAAAACGAAAAAATAAAGAACGAACTGACCTCACTGAACGACGAAAAGATGTAATTAAAGCGTGAGCGACTTGGAAATGGCCTAAAGAAAAAATCTTTCCGACGTAATATTCTATTGGTTTGTACCTCTCGTATTCACGTGCGTGCCTGTTCATTAGTCTTGTTGTCCATATTTATTTCAATGGTATTCCACGTATTCAAAAATACCGGATACCCAGATTACTTTTTTCCGACATCCTTTAATCAGTCGTTTTGAAAGTTTGAGAAATTTACCGGTGTTTCATACAAAAGTGTAGTTTGCTTGTAAGTGGTGTTTAGTTGCACGATCACGCACTGAAATCACAATTTCTGAGACTGACATTCTCGAAAATCCCCTCCCTGTTGGTTACTCGATTAACAAGTGGAGCGAAAGTCATCATTGGAGTCGAGCGAAAAGTCACGGTGTTACTCAGTAAAATGTTTAATGATCTAGAGCACCAAAGCTACTCGTTGTAACTTGTTAGTGCTAAAATCTGAGCAGAGTTCCAGGTAACAGTGTGTTGGTAAGTCAATCGGGCACAGAAATGTGATGAGCTGACATCAATTTCTTGTTACCCGTTCATGTTCAGTTAGTCTTTGGTAGTTGCCTATGTCATGAGGGAGTCGTCGCTTTGGTAATGGTATAAAAATGTCGAGTTCACGGGATAGTTCTGCGCTTTGTCAGGAGCGACAGATATTGTCACTGAAGTGGAATTTAGCGTTCAGTTCGTGTCAGTTGTCTCGGTAGTTTGGTGATAGCTTCCTTCGCGCAATAAATCATTCAGTAAATTGACTTTCGTGCAGTTATTCTCTAAGAAAATGCGACTACCTTCCGACCTCTAACAAGCAAAAGGAACCAAAAAGAAAGTGTATCGTTCTCTTGCCGGTTATAATTTGTCAAATTAATAGCCAAAGCAAATCTATATGACTAAGGTGGAACTGTGATGGACAACTGTGAACTGCACGACATGACGACTGCGGATGCAAAAGTCATAATTGCCTAAATATTTCTCTTTGAACCAATTGAACCAAACGGAGAAATTTCTTTTGTCAACTATTATCTTGAATGACACGATGACTATAATTGTAGCAAAGTGACCTCTTAAATCATTCAGACCATTTTTCGATCGAAATTTTATGTGGCAACTAATTGATTCTTTTCTCTTGAATGAAAAGAAACTGAAAATTTGCCTCGTGAAATGTGTACGTAATTCTTAATTTACTTGCAGTTCCACCTTAACTACACTCTTGTTGCTATGACATGTTGTAACTAAGCGACGAAGAAAAGATGGTGACTTGAGGAGCCGAGTGCTTTGCATTCCTGAAATTTCAACCGAACAGCTTCAACCAAATATCAAATACGCAAACACGTTGATTTTGGGAAAAAGTGACCAACCATCAACATGAATTCATTTAAATGCTTTGCATTTTTTGAAATAAAAACCGAGCAAATCGGGCTACGAATTCAAACAGAAACCCCCTCTTCGCTTTTGTTTAAAGGACAACAAAGGGCTCATCCTCGGTGTAAAAACCTGTGAAGCTCACGAGTGACGTAAAACAAAGCCAACAATAAAAAAAACGAAATAGCGTACAATAGCGCACAGCAAAACAATACCTCATGAAACAAAGAAAACCTCGTCAGGTTTTTGCACAGAGGATGACCCCTACAAAGATTATAGCAACTTGACATTGTTTAATTATCGCCGAAATTGTTTGCTCATATGCTAAACATCATGCACCTCGCTGAGGTACTTCTGTCACCATTTTATTACAAATAAAAAATGATTAATTTAAATGATTCTTTTCTTCGACGAATCTTCTCGTCATTCCAATGGTTCAACCTGTCCTTTCGAGAAGGTAATTCGTCTTACTTTTCCTCTCCACTAAGAAAGTTTCCTGAAAGATGAATAAAACATTCTCTTGATAAGCAACAGACAAATTTGGTTTTGCTAACATGTGATTTACTCGGTTCCCTAACAAGAAGTTCAACCAACGCAAGCTACATAGGTGTGCATACGTAGTTATTTTGCCAAATTTTGCTATGATCAGTAAACTCTACAAGTAAAGGTGCAAGAAACTTAGGAAACACGCCAAAAGATTCTGCCTCAACGAAAATCTTTCAAGATAAGAAAATAGGTTAATTGTATGCACCTGGCCCGCTCGAAGACTTAAAACGCGTTCCGAGTTTTCAGGTTGAGATGCTTTAGTTGCCTTCCTAATTTTATATTCTCAGTTTATTTAGCTTAAGTTATCGCTTAAATGCCCTGGTTACAATGCAGAATTAAACTGTTTCCAGATCTTGCTATCAAATTAGAGTTCTAGTGCCCTACGCCCAAATCCAACTACTCGCGCACGTGGCAACCGACCAAGGTAACATTCTGCAACTAGAATCTAATGTTTTCCAACAAGAATACAGTATTTACCTTTGCTGAAGAGATTACACACTCCTTTCTTTGTACTAAATGCGTCTTCAAGCCTTATCGTAATTCATTCTGGCTCGTTTTCAAAACCTTGTCATTCACGTCTTCACATTACGACCGACGACTAGCTTGATTTGAGTCCTACAAATTTGGATGAAATGGGTTGGAAACGACTACCAATCTGACGATTACGTCATAGATGTTAACGTGAGCACGACTTGAAACACATTTCTTGCGGCCGCCGGGCCAATCGGAGAGAAAGCTGTAACAATCGTGAATCCTCTGGGTTGCATTTCTACATTTTAAAGCCGGTTCAACCAGTCGTTTTTACTTTAGTTTTTTGGACTGAGAAAGAACTTTTCCATAAAAAAATGTGCACTTAGCATCTACGAGGATAAAAAGGCTTGAAAGGCAGGTTGTTTTGTCAGTTTTTTTTTTTATATATATATTTTGCTMYACTYWKA